ACCACAATGCATAGCTTCGAACACAGATGATATCGTAGAAGTCATATTCAAAAAACTTATTGATGAACGCCGATTTGGAAACTTAGCGAAAACTGCTGTTTTGGCGGCTCGAAACGTTGACGTAGATGAAATTAATTCTAAAGCAATCGAGCTCTTGGATGAGACAACTGAACGTATCTATACGGGTATTGATAGCGTACAAAACTGTGATAATGGGGATATTAACGATGCAATTTTACCAGAATATTTGAATACACTCAATTCTCCGAATTTTCCACCGCATGAGTTACGATTAAGAAAAGATTCTATTGTTATGTTATTAAGAAATATGAGTATTCATGAAGGTTTATGTCATGGGACCAGGTTACAAATTATGCAACTTTCAAATACTCTCTTACGATGCCGGATATTGACTGGAGACAAATCGGGGGACATTGTATTTATCAATCGTGTAACTTTATATTGTGAAAACATTTTTCCCTTCACTTTCAAACGACGTCAATTTCCAATCAAATTAGCTTTTGCAATGACGATTAATAAAAGTCAGGGGCAAACGTTTGATAAAATTGGTATAGATCTTCGCAAAGATGTTTTTAATCATGGTCAATTGTACGTTGCATTTTCGAGAGTTCGTTCATGGGAATCTTTACGAATTTTTATGGGCGATCAAAGGGAATCTATGTTGGTAAAAAATTATGCATACACTGAGTTATATAATTGATGGTTTCATAAAGAATTATTTTCTTCTACAATGGTCGTGATTCGACTTCCTATCAAATCCAAAGATCTTCAATTTTGTGATATTTATTTATCTTCTCCAGTCTTTCATTGTGATTACAACTTCTACGAAGCGATAAGATGGCGCGTGCGTAGCACGCGCGTTCGCTCTCGTTAAAAGAAAACCTCGAGAGCCTCTATAGGCCAAAATGTTTCTTTTTTTTCCAGTAAACATTAATAAAGAACCTCAGTTTTTTTATACTAGTTTTTTAAGGTTGTATATATCTTGTAAATAATTTTGTGATAATAAAAAAAACATGGTAAAAAAAAAAGGACTAGTGCCTCCGTGATATTTCAAGCTAATTGGTGGTTGTGGGGTAACGGATAGCTTACAGACGCTGAGAGGTTCAGAACAAGGGAGAAGGCCCTGAGAGATCACGAGCCAGTCGAAGTGGAGTGTTGGAGTCAAGCAGATGTTTTAGAAACTGGCCACCACTTGATGACAATAATCCCCTTGGGGATTATGATGGGTATGCGTTCCCGATCTTAGATTGGAATAGCGAGAGCTGGGGACGATTATACCCCCCTGACTAGTGAAACGCTTTCGGTCACAGAGGCCCATCTCCAGGGTGAAACTCATCGAGTCGATTTCCGTAGACCCGATCGCACGTGCCTCCATGGGAAGTAGCTCTGGTTTTGACTCGCGATAAGATTGCTGTTACTAAGCCTCCTCGAGTTGCGGTGGACATTGAGTGGGTGAAGAAGTTCTCCGGATACTAATGTCGCATGTGCCCCGAGAAGTTTAGCGCCCTGCTGGGTGAGAAAGATGCACAGGTGATCTGTAACTTCTACAGGATCAAGCCGCCCTAAAGGAGAGTAGGAAACATGAGAGGGATGGCATCCCTCCGCGAATGAGTTGGGGAATACGTCTCCCGATGGATGTCTTTTAACGACGCCGCGAGCGCGGCTAAAGTCGGTAATCAGAGTTGCTCAGACGTTGGTAAACCTCGCCCCCCTACACGGAGAGATTTTAATAAGAAAAATTACGATGTGAAAAATCTTAACTGCGGATGAAATGGCGAATTCCGAGAAATATGCGTTGATTTTTTTGAAAATTGGGACTTTGATTTTTTAAAAATACATTTCTCTATCCAAACATCACGAATTGAAATTGTCAAAGAAAGAGAAACAAAATTTCGATGTACATATTTGTTAAAAATATTCTTAGGATCTGAATAATTTGTCAATAGGTGAGAATTTAATTACTTTCTCAAATTTTACGATTCATATTTGATTTCTTTTTTTCGATGGCTGAAATAAATTGAATAGTATGTTCATTTCATTAAGTTGCATTAATAAAGTAAAATAAATCCATGTTTTTATCGGTTATTCAGGAACAGAATAACTTCAATTTTCAATCAGCCAGAATTGATAATTTATTAACAATTTTAGTTTTTTACGGAAAAGGAGAGAAACAATATTTACAGCCAAGATATTAACTGCTGCAGTGCCCCTGGATTTTTACATGCGCAATTTTCATTTTTACGATGTGAACTCACAAAATATCAAAGCAGCGAGTGATGTTTACAAATGGGGCATAAGGAAATAAACAGAAGGCTCCATGCTCGCGTTTTTTGTTTCATTGTTTCGTCGCCTGTCGAAAGATATCGGTCGTGCTCAGTCAACCAATCAAGCTCAGCCAAGCCATCACAGTCGGCTCTTTTATCCTAAAAAAAGAGGAGATTTCCTTCATTATCGACTCTGACATTTTTAGGTTTTTTTTAAACGGAATCTGCCGTTTCAATATTCTATCATGGCACAATTCTCTGAAATTGACTCAATTTTTCTTCCAATACAATTGGAAATGTTCTTCATCAATGTAATAAAAAAAAAGGAATTGATTTGGAGCTGTTCTTTTTATTTTCAAATTACGATTGACAATCGTAAAATGGCCAAATCCTTCATTATGGTCGACCGTTCTAATTCTACCCATGCAATTTTACGATTCAAAAATAGTAAAATTAACTAAACCAATTGTTCCGTGTACCGTGTCATACTGATGCTGACTCGGCATCGTGAGACTCGCCACCAAAAGTCCCCGGAGTAGATGAAATTCCTTCGCGGTTGGTTTCTATCAGGTTTTCCAGAAAAACCTGACTGGCGCCTAATCGTGAGCGATAGAGACGACAGCTAGAATAGTTTGAGGATTATCATGGGATGTTTACCCGGGGAAAATCCTCTTACGACACACAGTTCTAATATCGAGCACCTGTAGTAACCGGAATAATTGGTACCATTTTCACTAGTTGTGTCAACTTCGATGAGTTGACATCACATATGTTCTGGGCACGTTTAAAAAATTAATTTTAAAAGATGAATGGGAAATTATTGGACAATTTTTCTGGTTCTTCTCTATCAAATCTGAGCTGTGGGAAGCATATATTTGAGGGAAATAAATATTTTTAGAATTGGGAATGGGGAAAATCGGTATGGTTATAAAAGACCAAAATAACATACCATATATTCAAATGAAAGTTGGGACATCAATGCCAATATGTGGGAAACGAATATTTATAAACGATGTTCGTACGCATGTGTAGATACATGTTCCTTTTTAATATATAAAAAACTTTCCTCTATTCTACATGTAAAAACGAAAAAAAAACTAAGAAATCGATAAAAATTATATAAAGTAGGTATTACATTAACATTTTTTCATTAAAACAATATCTGTTTATATAAAACAAAGAGAATATTTCATTACAGAAATTCTAATTTTTCGCAATATAATACAATTATAAAAGACTCAGACTACATACTAATTATATAATTACACGCGCAAACGAAAATGTCACAATAATATGATTCAAGGACGTAATGGGCATCTATAATGAATTAGCGTCCTTCGCTTGCGGTGCTTTCCAATAATTAGAGATAAGTTATCTCAATAATGTGACGCAAATAAGTACCCCGCGCTTATTGTAGATTTTTCTTACTGCAATTTTCGAAATGACCATCATAAATCACGGTATGTTTTATCAATTTCGTAAACTTCCATTTAGCACCTATTTTATGTTTGTCAAAGGCTGTTCACGGCCAGTTTGAATTAAAACTTTATTGGTCGCTCAACCGAAATCAATTTTTCTGAGTGGTTTCATTGCGGTCCTCATGCTCAACAGATTTTCTTCGCTTTGAAATGGGAACATTGACATCAACAGTCATTCAAACTATCTGTAAATCACATGCGACGGACCCCAAGTATCTGTAAAATGTTGAGTTATAGTGAATAGTATAATAAAAAAAATCTTCATCAACCATTAAGGAACAATAGTTTGCGATTAAAGAATGCCTCATCGATTCATTCATCATTATTAAAGTTTTGTCCTTGTTTCAATTTTTTCTACCGTACATTTGTTTCTAAACATGACCATACGTGCACACATCCCGAAGTGTCAAAACAATCATTGTATTGTACGCCACCTTGTGTTAAAATTTCGTAAATCATCATAGATCTCGTTTCCTTTTATTTTCCACTTCTTATTCGTCAATAAGATCCTTTTGTCCATTATCATCGCAATACACACAAATAGAAAATGATTGAACAAAGATTACTTCTAATAATTGCTTTCGACGTCTTACTAAGCAACATATGAAAATCTCAATAAGTTCATTTAAGTGCCGTTGCATAAACTTGTAAAAAATGTCGCTGCCAAAAACTCCTGTTAGGTCATTGGTTGATGCTTACAATAGAACAGGAAGAAAATTTTGCTAATAACTGTGGAGTTCCCTTAGTCTGTCAGATTTTTACTTAGCAGCCGCCTTCCCTGTCGATCTGGTCTCCCTCGAAAAAATTCTTCCAGTTCACATGTACCGTCGATTCCAAACTCGACGTCATGTGCGTAGGAATGCGTAATGTTTCAAAAATAGAGCGGTTTCATAGTTCTATAAGTTATGGGCATTTTCTCCCATTACCAACTTATTATCTTCGTTACTAGCGGGAACGAAAGAGTAAGAACGATTTCTTAGATTAAAGTAGTTTTATCGATATATCACAAGTCAAGCTCTGCTCACTTTGACTAGCGCGGTAGCTGGATTCAACAATATTGCTCAATACTATTACTATTACTAATTAATTAATCTGTAGGAATGATCTCTGTATTTTCCATAAAAAATGAAGAAAATGCAGTGTTGATTTTCCGTTCTTGATTTTTTAGAATTTTTTGTGATTTTTAAAAGGATTTTTGGAATAAATAGTAAAATAAAATGAAGAAAACATGTTCTTCAATCATTAAAAATCAGAGCATCAAGACAAACATCTGAAATTTTCCACAGAATTATCTTTTTACGTGATACATATATGAAAAAAAAGGCGCCTTGAAATTCGCTGGGGGCAGATACACCAGCCTACCTGGCTAGACCCTTTCCAAGGAAATCGCTTCAAGATTAAGTACCGAAGCCGGCAAACTAAGGGAACTCTACTGTACCGCGTAATTTTCCATATGAGCGTCGTATATACAGAGATATTTAATAAAAGATGCAGAGCTTAAATTGGCTTACCGATTATGAATTTCATTCAGCAAATCTAAATGACGCGGTATTGTCATTTTGACACACAAATGAGGCAAGAGTTACGGGAAACAATAGTTCCGTGAATTTTTTGCTCACAGAGAAACATATTTAACAAAACATCCGCTAAATTTTAACAAAAATTTCTCTCCTTTTTTTCTGGGATGAAAATGAGAAAATAGGTGTTTCCAATTCCAGCACAGCTGCTCAAAAAATTATACACTGAATTTCAAAACTCTTAAAGTTTCAGTCCTGGGTTTAATATACCTAACAAAAAATGAGTCAAGTTAAATGCTCTTTGAATGCTCTTGGTCAAATCGATATCTCAATTTTGTTAACCCGCAAAGGGTCGCGCTGCAGCGTTACAATTTTCTGTGCCACAATAGTCATGGCATAGAAAACACATCCAAAAATCATGACTAATTGAATACATTTTCTTTAATTGAATAACTCATCAAGCTTACTTAATTAAAAATAAAAATCGTTATCGTTAATTTCCGTTCTCTTATTTTATATTTTTTTGTTTCCTTTCTCTTATATCGTGATAAGTATATCCCGATATAAGAGAAAGCAAACAAAAAGAATAGCAAACTAGTGATTTTGCGCGACTGCAGACAGGTTAATATCTGTTTATACATACTGTAAAAGAGAATGTGGTATGCCAAGTAAATTAAAAAAAAAAAAAATTTCATGGAAAACGCCGTTTATGTAATGATGGTTTCATTCATTCCTTTTTCTCCCAAGACAAAATAGGTCAAATTTTAAAACCTCTGTGAAAAAACTAATAAAGGCTGCTTGTGAATCTACAAGACCGATGAAAATAGTATTTTTCGATATAAATCCGTTACGTTGTCAGGGATATCAACTGAGCGGCCCGGACGCAGCCGAGGTTAGCCAATCACATAGACTGAAAAAACCCATCGTACATGTGTGGAACAATATTTTTTTGTCAGCGATGTTACGTTCAGCAAGTATTGAACTGTGCGTTTTCAATTTCACAGGTAAAAAAAGCACATTTCGGCACGAGATGAGCACAGCAGCAATGCCAAAAATAATAATTAACCGTGTTCATGTTTTCAGTTATTAATTATCTTTCCTAGTTCAATTTTTACGTTTCAAAAAATATAAATCCCACATAGAGGCCAATTTTATTTTTACCTCATAACTTTTTGTTCAGTAACTTTTCCGCTGAAATAATATTATTAGAATAAGTGTTACCTCATTAATTACTAGTCATTCTTATTTGCTTATCGCATTATCTAAAAAGGGTTTTGCTGTAGGTAATGTGTCTCATTTCTTTCATCAATAGTCAGCTAACTCATTGTCAAATTGAGTTAGTAATACTAATTCACCGTATTTATAAAATAGCTGGCGTTGGATTCATTAAATTCATTGGAAATTTCGATTTATTCTACAAATAAAAATTAACTTGCAGATGAATTTCATCCAATAATATGCCAGATTATTCTTGATCTCATAGATTTTAACATTAAATACTCCCAGTTAAAACGGGCCGATTTTATTATAACTCGTCAAATAATAAATCAATTGATAGTAAACAAATTCTAACTAATTAGTACCTATACATATTCTATTTATACTTATTAAATATTATATATTACTGAATTATTGTGCCGTTACCAATTTGGGAGGGTCGATATCCTCATATCTTCTGAATACTTTTTCCCAATTGTTCTTTTCATGCTGTTTTTCTGTATCTGGAGTCGATGTGAAGAATTTAGTGACCCTTGGCGGCCTCTTTAGCTGCCATTATCAAAGGTGTCAGAGACGCTAAAGGCTTTGAAAATTTCAGGAAAGGATGCTGTAATGGGAAAAAGACAAGTTGAAGCTTTGAAAATATTAAAAGAAAAATATATTTAGTAACGTTTGTGTTGACATTAACACTGGTGTGACTGTCCAACTCGGAGTTGCTCGCACGTCAGTCAGTAAAATTACACAACTACGCGCATATTCCGTGCATCTTTTTTACACCTCTAGAATCTGTATCTTTTCTATTGTAAATTAGCATTAAATTTATAATCTTTCAATACATATAAAATTAAAAGGGATTCCGTTTATTTAATAGTCGGTAATGATTCAAATTGTTTTTTGGGCTTCAATAGTTCAATATTTTTGGAACAAATTATACTGATATGATTATTATATAATTATCAAGTTAATATACCTGCTATTGTTTTATTGATATTCTCACAGAAATTGATAGTACGCCCAAGCTTTGTTACCCACAGAACAGTGGTAAATGTCCAACTGAGCCCAACCAAAAAATTCAGACATAATCAATCTAAAAAATTCGGGCCTAGACTGTTGAGGGTAATGGATTCAATAGGTATATTAAAAATAGGGTAAATGTCTAGAACAGCCCCCCAAGAAATGAAATGCCGAAAGTGGATCCTCGTGTTTACACGAAGGATTAGACAACAACGGGTCACTGATTATACCGAGCGATATTTAGTCTTTAAACGTACCAACATGTGTTGTCGTGGGGCCGATAACCGCTACGTCGTCGTCGTGGCCCTGGGTAATGCAAAGAGCGGTATAGAAATTTCATCGTATGCAGGAAACTATTTCTCCCCAAGATACGCTTGTCAGATTCGTGATCAGGCGGTAAAAAACTGTCGCATAGGATGTAATTCAATATAAAGTTCGGGAGGGGGGGTAATAGACATTCACCGCGATTCCAGCTATGTTTATCGGATTTAACGGATTTAACGGAACTCGCTACCCCTCTCGCGCATTATTCTTATCTCTCTCGTTTACTCTCATCGCCTCTTCTAAGCCCTCTCCGAGAATTTTCTCAGTAATATTCTAATCTCGCTCTGATCGGCGTTCTTTTAATGGTTTCTCTTCAAAATTTATTATACGCTTCGGTCTTTTAAAAACTCAAGCAGGAATTATTTTGGGGTTCGCGGAACTACGTGGAGATTTTTCGGGGTTAAAATTTATAATTAATTATTCCTATGGGGTCTCTGGATTATATAGTATCGCAGTCATACCGTTAAGCTCGGTCAGCTGGAAAAATCCGGCCCACCGTTGTCGATTTATTGAATAAAATAGTCAGTTTTGTGAACAGTTTAATAGAGTTCTAGCCTTTTATTTTTGGAACATTTCCGCCCTTTTCCCGGAATCCATCCTTCTCTCCACAACCTAATATACGGAGCAGTGCAGGTAACCGTTACCTCTCCCTCAACCCCTTCGCTGAGCTAGATTAAGTTCCGTTTCTGATTTTTTGTTTAAATTTCGAGTGGCTGATTCCTCGACATCAGAGGCGCCCAGCAACTTTTTTTTTAGGTCCCGATTTTTGTGTGCTTTTCGTATCGGCGAGGAAGCTATAGGGAGGGAGGCCGCAGGTGATGGGCATTTTCGGTCGTTAGAAAACGTCACGTCACATGCGTTTCGGCTAGAATGTATGTGTATAATTTATATATATATTTCGCATATATATCGTTTTCCATGCAGAATGAAATTTCTCTAGAATTCTTCATTGAGGAAAGAATTAATTTTTTTATACATTGTGGTAATTCTCTATTTTCAAGTTCACCTGGTACCAGAAATCATCAAATCATTAATAAGTTATTATTTTTTTCAGTTGTTGTTTAAATCATTCAAAATGAAATGAGCCCATTCCATGGCGAACTCCTCACGATCGGTAGATACCTGATTTCGAAATCAGTCACTCTCTGTGCCCGCCGTTTATCTGGGTGATTCAAATATCGGGATTAGTTCGATCACAATTATGTCCATTATTTTATTTTATTATGATTATGTGTAAAATTAAAGTGTAAAATTATGAAGGGTTCAGTGCAAACATTCTTAGTAGCAAACTTAGTAAACTTTATTGTGCATTATAAATATTAAATACGTCTTCTTCGGTAAAGCGATTGATGAATTGCAAAATTGGACATTACCGCGAGCGACCAAAATGACTCTGGAACAATTTATTGTTCATGAATTGCTGATGAATATTTGAAATATTAAAGACTAGGACTTGTATGTGTGACTCTCTTCCTAGTGGAGAATCGGATTATCGTTTAGTTGTTAGAAGGGAGATTGAGCACATGATTATTTTTATCTCTGTATCGAGATGCGCGGTAGCGTATCCGCCAAGTAAAAGTTTCGTCTCTATCCAACAAATATTAGTATTTATACACGACACAACTACCCCTTCCACTACCTCCTAATCGTATTCAATCCATAAAATACAAACGCCACAAGTTACATGAAATCTGTGCACAGTTACATTTGGATTATAGAAATCGCCCTCAATCTTTTCATTTATATAAGTTTTTCCTCTTTGCGATTAATATTGGTAAAAATACGCCCATGGCAATGGGCTTATTTCAATATTTTCCCGATTTCTATTATCTTTCAATTACATTGAAGTCACTAAGTAGGCAGCAGTTCGATGCAACCTAACCTGGGCTAAATTTGGAGTTCAGATGGTGCCACCCGTGTATTCAAACCGTTGAATTGTAACAGGAAAACAGAGGAGTGTTTTATTTCTTCCCTCGGATTTTATGTTTTTTATTTATTTCCATAGTTATAATTGTTTATTTTATGGTAACGAATATTAGCTTTGCGTTTTGTTGAAAAATTATATGCAGTTTTTGATCTATTGATGTGTACACATGTGACTGAAGTAAATTGTGGAGGTTAATGGAAGTGTGAATTTCGAGATTTTGACATTTAAAAAAATTGATTCGGTCTAATACATACATAAATGGAGAAAGGAGTTTCTCAAATTGTTGAAAAACATTGTGTATTATGTGAAAAAATCATGCAAATGATATACTTCAGATGAACTGAAAACGTGATGTGGGTGACAAAAATGTGGAAAACGTGAAAATAATTTTTTACTTATATTGAAAAAAAAAGGTAAATCTCTGCAAATGATGAAAACTGGTGTTTTTGGAAAAAAAACTGAGCGAAATAAAAGTTTCGCTCAATTGATTCCGTAAACAGCTCGCGTTTTGTCAAAATATGGCGTTCCTTGAAATTAAAAAAAACTCGGAAAATGTAAATGAATACGACAAGAAAAGTGATACGACTCGATTGAAAGGATTCAATAATGAAAATAAAAAACCAGTAGAGACAGGACCAACTTACTTGACATGGTTTTATTTACAGGATAATGCTAAAATGAAATTTGATTAATAATTAAAAGCGACCGAAGATAATCTTTGGCTCTAACTCTAGTTCTTGGGAAAAACTGAGCCTCTACTGATTTTTTAATTTTCATTATTGAATCCTTTCAATCGAGTCGTATCACTTTTCTTGGCGTTGTCATTTACATTTTCCGAGTTTTTTTTAATTTATAGGAACGCCATATTTTGGCAAAACACGAGTTTTTTACGGAATCAATTGAGCGAAACTTTTACTTGGCTCAGTTTTTTACAAAAACACCAGTTTTTGTCATTTGGGGATTGATTGATAATTATTAAACTCATTTGCTAATTGTCGGCTTTTTCTTCTCCTTCGACTATCTAAAACCTTTCCAAATTTATCCTTTTATTGATTAATTTTTAGAGATGAACCTTTTTCAAATCTCACTGTTCGATGAAACAGATCGTAACTAAAGTTTGTTGATCTCTAGTATATAGTGTATCAAGGGTGGAAAGTCAGAAATTATTTTCCCGCCCGAAGTGCACATGCTATTTTTTAACACACCTGCTTGGAAAGTTCGCACTTTGCTCTCAAAAGCGGAAAGTCTCGACTTTCCAACCTTGGCAGGACCTTTCTATCCGACGGCGGGAAATACTCACTTTCCCCTCGCTTATCAGGGAGCAAAGTGCGAACTTGTCGGACAAGTGCGTTAAAAATTTAGATTTCGAGACATTCTCAACAAACTAATTTTTTTTGAAAGAGTAAATTTTTCTCTCTTTTCTTCTTCATGCCAGAATTGATGAGAGCAGCAAAATTGAAGATATGTTTTCGGATGACACTTTCTTGGAGTTTGCGATGAAAAAGAAGAAAAAAAGAAAATGTCTGGGGAACAACTTGAAATTGCCGTTTGAAATTTTCTTTTTGAGTTTCCATAGCAAAAATGTGCACACACAAAAAATCATTTTTTGCGAAATATAGGTTCCGATTTGTTCATTCGCCATAAGGTCTCTGAATTTAATTTGGAATCAGAACAGTTTTAGAAAAAAACAAGTAGAGGTATGAGTATATGGGGGCGAGGAAATCATAGTGAACATGCTCTTGAGTGATTATTTCAATCTTTCATCACCAATGACTTGATGGTATGCTTCCGAACGGCTAGGTAAAATGTTCAAATCTTTGTATGTACGCAAATTTCTTGAAAAATCAATCTTTCAACTTCAGATTTTGCAGTGACGCTGTGTTAAATTGAATAATTTGTCGAAAATTCTCGACAATTTCCTATGATGAGTTATATGAGTTGAAAATGTCCCTTATTGCTTTTTTTAAAATTTATTTAAAGTGTTAGTTAATTACATCGATTCCTCGGTGTGAGGGAAGCCATATAAATACTATTTTCGTTTGTGGGTGACTTTCTTTTGTTATTGTGAAATATTGCTCTCTAATATCAGTAATGTATGGGTTGGTTTTGGCTATCAGTTTCCCAGAGTCAAGAGGTTGGCATTCATTGAGGAAGTTCGTCACTATGACATAATTTCGTTCAGGATTGTCAGAGATTAGTCTTATTGCTAGGGTGAGGGCTATACACTCTGCAGTATAGCTTGACGAATTCCTATTCAGTGTCGTGGAGAGGCGAACGTCTAATTCTGGGCATATGCACGCATCTCCTACATAGTTATTCCCTGGGTTTTTACTTTCATCCGT